AACTACCATCTTACAGAGTTCTGGGTAGTAGTGAGGGAGGTTGTTTCTCCCTCACAACTGCCACCTTACAGTCCTCTGGGTAGTAGTTAGGGCGGTTGTATCTCCCTCACAACTGCCACCTTACAGAGTTCTGGGTAGTAGTGAGGGAGGTTGTATCTCCCTCACAACTGCCACCTTACAGAGTTCTGGGTAGTAGTGAGGGAGGTTGTATCTCCCTCACAACTGCCACCTTACAGAGTTCTGGGTAGTAGTGAGGGAGGTTGTATCTCCCTCACAACTGCCACCTTACAGAGTTCTGGGTATAGTGAGGAGGTTTGTATCTCCCTCACAACTGCCACCTTACAGAGTTCTGGGTAGTAGTGAGGGAGGTTGTATCTCCCTCACAACTGCCACCTTACAGAGTTCTGGGTAGTAGTGAGGGAGGTTGTATCTCCTCTCACAACTGCCACCTTACAGAGTTTCTGGGTAGTAGTGAGGGAGGTTGTATCTCCCTCACAACTGCCACCTTACAGAGTTCTGGGTAGTAGTGAGGGAGGTTGTATCTCCCTCACAACTGCCACCTTACAATGTTCTGGGTAGTAGTGAGGGATGTTGTATCTATCTCACAACTGCCACCTAACAATGTTCTGGGTAGTAGTGAGGGAGGTTGTATCTCCCTCACAACTGCCACCTTACAGAGTTCTGGGTAGTAGTGAGGGAGGTTGTATCTCCCTCACAACTGCCACCTTACAGAGTTCTGGGTAGTAGTGAGGGAGGTTGTATCTCCTCACAACTGCCACCTTACAGAGTTCTGGGTAGTAGTGAGGGAGGTTGTATCTCCCTCACAACTGCCCCTTACAGAGTTCTGGGTAGTAGTGAGGGAGGTTGTATCTCCCTCACAACTGCCACCTTACAGAGTTCTGGGTAGTAGTGAGGGAGGTTGTATCTCCCTCACAACTGCCACCTTACAGAGTTCTGGGTAGTAGTGAGGGAGGTTGTATCTCCCTCACAACTGCCACCTTACAATGTTCTGGGTAGTAGTGAGGGAGGTTGTATCTCCCTCACAACTGCCACCTTACAGAGTTCTGGGTAGTAGTGAGGGAGGTTGTATCTCCCTCACAACTGCCACCTTACAGAGTTCTGGGTAGTAGTGAGGGAGGTTGTATCTCCCTCACAACTGCCACCTTACAATGTTCTGGGTAGTAGTGAGGGAGGTTGTATCTCCCTCACAACTGCCACTTTAACCAGGTTATTATCAACTGCGCACATTTAACTTCCTTAATTAATGATCTAAGTGTGTTTACCCTCCTCGCCATTATGTGAGTCTAACAAAGAGTAACCAAGGTTTGCTGTGCACTCAAGAAAATTTGTCTATAGTATTTTCTGTGATTTTTATTTGTGAAACTACAGTTTACAGTGATTTACATGTCAGAAGAATTCTCAAGACAAATATTTTACGAAAAATAAATGTTTTCAAATTCATTTTAATGGTTCCAGCAACTACTGCGTGTCTACTTTCAAACTTATTTTAGAAATTATCAAGTTCTTAAAAGACTGCAAAGCTTTGCTGATTTTTTAATCAGTTGTGATGGACTTATGGAAACAAAATCTTAAGGGCAAACCATAGCCGTACAGCTGAGTTACTTATCATTGACCGAAAGTCAAGAAGAAATCTGTCAAACTATGATTCAATAAAAATGCTTATTCATTCTCTATATTGATCAAAAAAATTTAAAAGTGTCATTTGCTTAACCTGGTATTGTTTCACCACGCCACTTTAAGTAATGATAACAGAAGTCTTTCGTAAAAAGTCAGATGACGTTTCGCTCTGAATAAATAAAGGTCTCCAACAACTAAATGTTACTACTAATAAAGGTTTACTACTCGCTAAATGTCTTTCTAACATATTTGCAGACAATACCTGCCATCCTACGGCAAAATAAACATTACAATCCACAACACTTATGAACGCTTCCTGCATTCTAGTTAATTTTTCTGGTGTTTTGACAGATCCGGCAAGAACAGTTTAGTTCAGGACCTGGTGAGGTCTCGGACCTAGTCAGTCATATCTAAACTTTCATCCGGTTAATTTTGACTTTTTCACCTTTGAAGGAGATAAATACCTTGATGCTGGTGAAGGTCTTTTGATTGAAGGAACGGGAGTTTAACTTAAATCCTTGGATGAAACCTGACTACATCCCCTTTCATAAGCGTTTTATGGCCCTTTCCTTATTAGCAATTCGGAGTGAATGTAATAATATTTATTACTAACCATTACACGACTGTGGAATTCGTCTAGTTATTGGATTTTCGGACCATCTATTCAAGGTTGTGAGCCTGAAGTATTAGAACAAGCAAAATCACTGTTTAGTTATAATTTTGTGAATATGATTAGTATAAATCAGTAACAGACTTAATAATTCAGACTGCAGCAAGTTATAAACGTTGTATATGGAGTGATGATTCAAGATAAACTGGATAGCTGTAACACCAGATGCATGTTTATGACCTGGAAAAGCTTCACAGGTTATATAGGATCAAAGTTCCTAATAGTGGGTTTTATCGTGGAAAGTGAAGGTCTCCTAGTGATTTCTCTATCCACTGCCTAGAGCCAAGATGCGACGAAGGTAAGATGAACATACCTCTATTACGTGCAACTATGTATGTTTTAGTAATATGATTAGTGAATATATGTTTTAATAAAGTTTGGTAGATATACCGCACATTTATTTCAGCAATCCTAGTTGCTTTTTCAGGAAATTTTACATATGCTTATATGTCGCTGAGTAAACATATCTGTTTGCACAGTTTTATTATTCTAATGAATTTTCATAGGCATTTGCGTAAATGACGAGATAATGTATTCTGATGGAAAGTGAAGTTTGTGGTGACTTCACATGTGATCAAGTGTTGTTGGAGTGACTTTATCAGTGCCAAACACTTTTGGTGAAGATCATGTATAGTGAGTGACTACCAGCCGATGTGTAAGTGTTGTAATGAGTTACCGCCACTACATGGTGAGTCAAAGTGTATGTATAGGTGCCCAGCCAACACATTGATGCAAGAGTGTATTGTAGTTGAGTGCTACCAGCAGACATGGTGTAGTCAAAGTGTCATGTATCAGTTGAGTGATTACAGCCAACACATGAGCTATAGTGTTGTGGTTTATGAGTGACTTCCAGCAGCACATTGAGTGACAGAGTTATGTGAGTGAGTGATTCAGAACACATGTGTGAGTCAAAGTGTATGTACTAGTGTGACTGTACCAGCCATACATGTGGTGAAGATGTAGTTATAGACTTTATCAGCCAGAAATTAAAGTTAATGTATGAGGGGCTACCAGCACACTTGTGAGTCAAGTGTATGTCATAGTGAGTGACTTACCAGCAACACATGGTATGAGGGAGCTGTGAGTGACTTACCGCCACACATGGTGAGTGAAATATGTAGTGGTACTTACCAGAACCATGTGGTAGAGTGTATGTGTAGTGAGTGGCTTACCAGCCAACACATGGTGAGTGAAGAGTGTATGTGTAGTGAGTGACTTACCAGCCAACACATGGTGAGTGAAGAGTGTATGTATAGTGAGTGACTTACCAGCCAACACATGGTGAGTGAAAGTGTATGTGTAGTGAGTGACTTACCAGCCAACACATGGTGAGTGAAAGTGTATGTGTAGTGAGTGACTTACCAGCCAACACATGGTGAGTGAAGAGTGTATGTGTAGTTAGTGACTTACCAGCCAACACATGGTGAGTGAAGAGTGTATGTGTAGTGAGTGACTTACCAGCCAACACATGGTGAGTGAAGAGTGTATGTGTAGTGAGTGCTTACCAGCCAACACATGGTGAGTGAAGAGTGTATGTGTAGTGAGTGACTTACCAGCCAACACATGGTGAGTGAAGAGTGTATGTGTAGTGAGTGACTTACCAGCCAACACATGGTGAGTGAAAGTGTATGTGTAGTGAGTGACTTACCAGCCAACACATGGTGAGTGAAAGTGTATGTGTAGTGAGTGACTTACCAGCCAACACATGGTGAGTGAAGTGTATGTGTAGTGAGTGACTTACCAGCCAACACATGGTGAGTGAAGAGTGTATGTTAGTGAGTGACTTACCAGCCAACACATGGTGAGTGAAGAGTGTATGTGTAGTGAGTGACTTACCAGCCAACACATGGTGAGTGAAGAGTGTATGTATAGTGAGTGACTTACCAGCCAACACATGGTGAGTGAAGAGTGTATGTGTAGTGAGTGACTTACCAGCCAACACATGGTGAGTGAAGAGTGTATGTGTAGTGAGTGACTTACCAGCCAACACATGGTGAGTGAAGAGTGTATGTGTAGTGAGTGACTTACCAGCCAACACATGGTGAGTGAAGAGTGTATGTGTAGTGAGTGGACTTACCAGCCAAACATGGTGAGTGAAGAGTGTATGTGTAGTGAGTGACTTACCAGCCAACACATGGTGAGTGAAAGTGTATGTTAGTGAGTGACTTACCAGCCAACACATGGTGAGTGAGAGTGTATGTGTAGTAGTGACTTACAGCCAACACATGGTGAGTGAAGAGTGTATGTGTAGTGAGTGACTTACCAGCCAACACATGGTGAGTGAAGAGTGTATGTGTAGTTAGTGACTTACCAGCCAGCACATGGTGAGTGAAGAGTGTATGTGTAGTGAGTGACTTACCAGCCAGCACATGGTGAGTGAAGAGTGTATGTGTAGTGAGTGACTTACCAGCAACACATGGTGAGTGAAGAGTGTATGTGTAGTGAGTGCTTACCAGCCAACACATGGTGAGTGAAGAGTGTATGTGTAGTGAGTGACTTACCAGCCAACACATGGTGAGTGAAAGTGTATGTGTAGTGAGTGACTTACCAGTCAACACATGGTGAGTGAAGAGTGTATGTGTAGTGAGTGACTTACCAGCCAGCACATGGTGAGTGAAGAGTGTATGTGTAGTGAGTGACTTACCAGCAAACACATGGTGAGTGAAGAGTGTATGTGTAGTGAGTGACTTACCAGCCAGCACATGAACCATGTTCATAGGAGATAACATCAGCCAGCCAGGTGATACCCATCACCAGGAACAGCTTGAGATACAGCCACATCCTGTAAATAACACAACAACTCATTCTCAGCAAATACCTCATCCTGTCTTCATAAAACAAAACCTAATAAGTAAGAGCTTCGATGTGTTTGCTCAATTTTTATATGTCGTGCCGAATAGGTAAAACTTCCGATTTTGGTTTAAATAGCAACGTTCTTCTTGCCGAATAAGTCAAGAAAAAATTTGTGCATGCAATAATTTCGCAAAAATCATTCTGAACCTAAAGAAAAAATATATTTCACTGTGTTTATTAATTATTAAATTATTGTAAACTTATCTAAAATATATTTAGTTGGATTAGCCTAAACTAAATTGCGTTTGTTATTATAAGGTTAGGTAAGTTTTCTAAGGATCTTTTGCTACAAAATTATTATTTTTTCCATTAATTAACATATATAAAAAAATATATTTTTAAAAGTATAAGAGAAAATTTTAGAAAGGACTTAATTTTAAATGAGTTCTTGCTGATTAACTAGTTTTACCTATTTGGCACGACATTTATATATTATATATATATATTATATATTATATATATTATATATATATATATATATATATATATATATATAAAATATATTATATGTATGTATGTATGTATGTATTTGGGTAGTAGGTTGGTAGACAGCAACCACCCAGGGAGGTACTACCGTCCTGCCAAGTGAGTGTAAAACGAAAACCTGTAATTGTTTTACATGATGGTAGGATTGCTGGTGTCTCTTGTCTGTCTCATAAATCTGCAAGATTACAAGTGCGTCTTGCTACTTCTACTTACACTTAGGTCACACTACACATACATTTATATGTTTATTTATACACACTCATCTAAGATTTCTTTGATTTTATCTTAATAGTTCTTGTTCTTATTACTTTTGCTTTTATATCCATGGGGAAGTGGAATAAGAATTTTTCCTCCATTAGTCATGCGTGTTGTAAAAGTCAACTAAAATGCCGGGAACAATGGGCTAGTAACTCCGTTTCCTTTAATAATTACTAAAAAGAATAAGAAGAAAATTGTCAAACTAAAAAAAATAT